GCAGTTAAAACACTTTGTCAGATTAAATTTGAATAATTTGTTTGGATTTTTTGAAAGAGACATCCATCAAGTGAAAACTTCTGCCACCTCATTTCATATCAGCTCTCAGTGACTCTGGGAAAATGTAAAAATCAGCAGATGTTTTATTCTTGGTCACGCTCGCATCGACACCCGAGCATAATGCGCTCTTCTTGGTCATTTATTATTAATGTGACAGCAACAAATTGGCCACACCTGTTGCCAGTTGGATTTCAGAGTGTCCTGTGTGTTTGGGAAGTCGTTCTAGTTATTAATCATACCTGTTCGGAGCATTTTCCCCGCTCCCTAACAGCATCCGTGTGCCAGCGACACTGCTTCATCTTGTAAAATGTCAGAGCTCTGCATCACACTGCGCACATTTAATCTGAATCTCTAATTAAAATGAGTAGCAATGCGATTATGTCATAAACAGGCAGCTGCAGTCTGAACAGACAGCCAGAGAGACAAAGACGTATATGTCTTATTAATATCCTCTTGAGTGTTTAAAACCCCTGAATCTGGACCTGAAAATGCTAACAGATCATTAACTGAAGCACTGATATGTGAAATGAGGACAACAATAAAAAGAATTGCAGAGTCAGGAAGTGTTTTTGGAACAAACGCCCACTCGTGAACTACATATCTTTGAGGGCTTTTTTTCTGTTTGCATTCACACCACCAACAAAAATGTTAACGGCCCATTTGTGCACACTACATCGGTCACTTCGACCACAAGCAGTGATGTCACCACTGCTGAGGGCATGAGGACTCGCTGCAGTAATCTCCTGATAGGTGTCACCACACAGACAAAAACCTCCAGGTTTCTTCTTGTTCGAAGGGAGTTTCTCCTTTCCACTTGGGGACAGCACCTTGAAGTTAATCTTATAAATATAAATGAAATGAAAATTAATTCCACTTATGATTTGTGCCAGATTTACTAACATGCATTTGGCTAATATTTTCTCTTGCCTTTGTAAACCCTAGATTTCATACACATGTCACCTAACTATTAAATGGATTCTTTGTCAGTAGGGCTGTGGAATTAATAACAATTTGCGTACAATTGTGGCTTTATTGAGATGAAATATTTTTTTCTGCATGCTTTTAGTTTTTTGCAGTAGTGCTATCCTTATGTCTTTTCTCAAAAATGTCATATTCACTTAAAAGTGTTGGAGAGGTTTCAGTCAGCTCGACTGAAGATAACAGGAACTGTTCAGATTTTAACAGTAAAGCCACTTCAGCTGGAAATACTTCTTCATCAGTATTTCCAGCTGATCAGACATCTTAAAATCAAAAATGTTGTAAAATTAAGCTGATTGTGTTAATTAAAAACACTCTCAATATGCCTACATAAGTAAAGGTTCCTTGTTGCTCTGGGTTACCTACTCTATAATAGAAGCTAAAAGCCTGTCCCAAAGGCCCTGTGTTGAACATTTAGTACAAGGCAACACCAGTAATCCAAACACAGAAAGGACCAGTTGGAAGAATAGGTCAGTAAAATCTCTGAAGGGATTGTCTCACTATTCAAAGCTTTAAAATTTCAAATAAAATCCGAAGCTGACAGAAATCCAGTGAAAAGATTTTGGAAATTGAAAAGAGATGATTAGCGTTTTGGACTGATGGAAGTTGATTCAGAGACGATTTGTTAAGTAACTAAGTAACTGATTGAGAAGAGATGAAAAACACGAGCAGTTTTCTCCAGTTCCAGCTTGGAATTCACAAGAATCAACTTAGCAATGGTCCTTACGTAGATGGAAAAAAAATTAGATCCTGACAGGAAGCTGTCCAAGATAACCTCAAGGTTACATGAGCTGGATTTAACAGAGGAACTTGGCAAACCCAAGGCATTGTTTGATCTTTGATATGGTGCTATCTGGAACAGTTGTTATGAGTCTCTGTTTTGCTAAAATTTAACTGTGGAGAATGAGCACTTAACTTAGACCTGATGGCAGTCAGGCAGTTATTCAGATCAGAAAGGTCAGAAATAAAGACCAACCGGATGTCATCCGCATACAAATGGTAAATCAAACATCTGTTTAAGAGCCCTTTACTGAAAAGGAACGATTAATAGAGACTGAGAACATTTTGCCCATGAGATAATGCAGAGTATTGACAGATGATCTCAGATCAAACAGAACAAGGGAAGTATTGTTACCGGCATCTGAAGACATTAAAATTAAAGGAATTGAATGTTTTTAAAGGAAGATAAGACCATCAGCAACCAAAACAACAAACCCATTATTTAATCATACACTGACACCAAGTTGAACCTAACCAGAAACTGAAGGGTCAGCGAGAGAGATGTTTTCAGTCAGGATTTGAATAACAGGAGGCTGTTGCGTAGTTACAGAAAACTCTGTCCTGAATATTTCCTTTGTTTTGTGATTTTTGTTAAGAATTTCTGCACATTTTTAGCTTTGAACTTTTTCTCTCCTCAGCGAAGGAGCCTTCTAGTCATTTAAAGAAAAACACCATTAGTTTTCTCTGCTAGGTAATGAAACATGCAGTCTTCACAATGCAAAAGCAATTGTTCCCACTTAATGATCGTTATTGGATCCATTATCACGGCTGTGCTCCCTAATTTTACAAGACGAGGCACCAGAAATGAAATATACCTAGTAAAACAAAAGGAGCTCCGGCCTTCCTTTCTCATATAGGCGATTTGCATCAGTGTGGGTTTAGCATACAAAAAAATGTGTTGGATTTTCTGTTTAATTAGCCGTCTTCCCAAACCTTAAAATGACAAAACCCAGTGTGAAATGCAGAAAATTTCATGCGCCAAAGTCCTTCTGTCGCACTCTGTCATTATGTCATGATGGCCGCGGTCCATCATGGTCTGCATACTTGCCACCAAGCCTCCATTATTCACACCACAGTGCGAAGTGGAGGCAAACTGGAATTGATTCTGTCTGAGTACACAGACCCACAGCTTTCACACGAAGAGGCCTGGAGCTGCAGCATTTAAGCATAAGTCTAGCCTCTTTTCTTTTTTTTTCTTTCTCCTTCAACATGGGCCCTATTTTCTCATCTCTATCCATCTTAGCAATCGATTCTGACCAAAATCTCATCAATTGCTTTATTATGGAGCTACTTACATCTTGTTTGTCTGGGTGCAGCTTTCCAAAGAAGTCCTAAAGGATCAGTGGACTCCACACCATGTCTTATTAACTCATTTGATGCAAAAATGAAGCTGGCAGGTGCTGTTAGAGAAATCCAAAGCTGATATTGACCTGAATGTTGCTTTACTGCGTTTTCTTTTCTGTTTTCGTTGGACAAAGCAGCTGGCCTTTAAAATGTGTCTGAACTCTTACATGATAGAGTTTGTGTGTAGTGTTTGGGATCGTTTCATATCCAGACATGTGCTTCAAATATATAGTATAATTCTGGGGCTGCTGTGTGTCGGCTTAGGCAGAATTTTGACATTTCCAAATGGTCACCATCAGTCCAACATGTTAGGTTGGATGTGCTGATCCAAATCACCTGTTTTGGATTATTTTTGTTTTAAACCAAAAAGATAAAAGGCCGACATTACGCAGCATCTAAATTAGAAGCATTAGGGCGTCTACACCAGCTTGCCAGAGGGCTCGACTGCCTCTCTGGATGGCTTTACAAAGAATGAATTTTGTATTTAAATCATTATCAACTCAGATTTTGTAATAAAATCTCCCGTTATTTTTACACAGGAGTGAAATGATAAGTAAATGCTAGTATTTCTAAATATCAAGTTTTTTCAACTATAAATAAGTTAAAATATATATATATATATATTTCATGTAGTTTAAAAAAACATGTCATATATTATATATATTATAGATAGTATGGCCCACCTGAGTTCAGATTGAGTCACATGTGGCCCATTGACTTCAGTGAAATAAACAAATGGCTGGGGGAAACATGTGCTATCTTATACTTGAGGCAGCTAGCTTGCCCATTGTACACTGTTATTTCAAAAGTTTTAAACTTTTAGGTTTTACTTGGCAGTACTTAATATCAACTACACAATAAAATCGTCTCCAGGAGCACTACATTTGTCTGTCCTACTATTACTAATGGGACTGTCCATCAGTCACTGTGTTAAACTATCAACCTACCCTCAGCTAAGGGAAAAGAAGAAGGCTTGTTCACCACATTGATTTACCAAGTTCATCGTCAGGAGGCAGAGCACTAAATTAGCATAACATAAAAAGCCCGTGCAAAAATTTAATGGTAATAGACTTGAGGGATTGGATGTATTAGCAACCAGTTGAAAAGTAGGGGGAAAGACAAGAGAAGTAAAGTTAAAAAAGGGAACCTTATGTAAACTAAGCAGATTTACCAGTTCTCATAGTCCAGTGCTTAGAAAAACTTGATCACACTTTGTAAGTAATATTTATCACTGAAATTTTACCAGCGCCTAAAACTAACCAACTAGCTTTACGCTTCCAAACTTAACTTAGACCTTGTTGGATATATTGATCCAATCTCCCAGCCCTAGTTCCACGTCTATAAGCATCTATTTCAAGATAAAAGCAGCCTTTAGTTGAGAGAGGCATATTTTTCATGTCTGATTTCTCTGTAGCTCCATGTTGGTGTCCTCAGCTGAAGGTCTGACTCTCTGAGCTCAACCTTTCTGTCTCTTACATGACTTCTGTCGGGAAAGTTTTGTGTGTCTGACATCAGCGTGCTGTTGCTGTTAACTTGTGTTTGTTTGGCTTCACTGTGATCTTCTGTTCTTTTCACACATCATTCAGTCTCTATTTTCAGCATCATTTTAAGTTCCTAAAATGTACCATCTTGCCTTTGGAACCATGCTTATTAACCTCTTCATGATCCATGTGGGATAAGAAACTAGAAGCCCTGCTCTGGAGCGCAAGAGGGGAACAAAAGGTTATTCAGGGCTGACTTATCATGTCCTGCTTTTTTATCTGCCTCTATTTCATCCACTAACTGAAAGAAGATAGCAATAATTTCTCTGTTTGCTTCTTATGTTCCTTTTCAACAAGCACGCCTTTCACATTATGGTGGAGGTAAGAGCAGTTTAAATGAAAACACTGTTAGTTTTCCCTCCTTTTTGGGTTCAGAGCTTGGTATGAATTCTCCACCTCAATCCCAGACCACCATTTTGTGTCTTGTTTAGTTGACTTTTCTTTTTTGTGCCTGAATTAATTGCATGGGTGGATGGTTGTGTATTTTTTTTTTTTTTATTGTTTCTTGCTGAAGATGCATTGTGCATGGCAGAAAATGGCCAACGCGGCTCTGAATGCAGCCCTCCTTTTATATTTTTCTTTGTATGAATGTCCACCTGTGATGTTTATGTAACACATTGTGTGTGATGTGACCCAGTTTCCAGAATGGTATCTGCTCAGACCTATGGCTCACCATTTTTCCATGCAGAGATGGCAGAGGTGTTTGAAACTGAAACTGCGGCTTGCTTTTCCATCTCATTTGCAGACTGAGGAGGAGTACAGATACGTTTTTACATAAGTAGGAGCTTTGCCACTTATCTGGAACATTTTTCAAGTGAGAGAGTGTAAATTGCTTAAGTACAAGGGAAGCATAAGCCTCTTGCAAATGTACCTTGGCTCAAAATTTAACAAATTGGAGTCGAAGTATGGCGCCAGACCTTTCTGGGGGGAAAAAAAAGTAACTCACTAAATAACTCGGGGATTTTAGTGCCTGGCCTTGCTCCTTTAAGGTCATGTCAACAACTTTTTGTTGTTGACATGGTCTCAAGCTTTACGGCCATATCAACAACAGGAAATGACCTTACAATAATGGAGTTTTAGCCAGAATACCTTCTCATTGTCCTAAAACCAAGCTTGGCATTTTGGTTTTGTTAGATCTACTTATCTGCACCTAAACCCAGGACACCCAAACCAGACTGAAAGACCTGTTTTGATGTAATAGATGAAGGTGTAACTTGATTAGGCCATAGGAGATGGTTGAGGGTTGGGAGGAACGGCGTGAAGCAGCAGATTCTGTTTTCCTGTTTCCTGTGGTCTGCTGACTAAGTGTAATGCGCCCCCATTTGAGGCCACAGCGCCCTGCAATCGGACAAGGGATCCGGTGACTCCCACAGGACGCCCTGCGGGCTGGGCCCCCTCGTCAGGCTGAAACCCAGAAGAAAGACGAGTTTTCAGAAACGATGGAAAAAAGAAGAGCGTCCTGCAATGACAGGTCGTCTTCAGGATTGTGTGTGATGCTCATCAGGCAAATCCATAGTGGCTTATATCTTCAGGGTTTTAAGATGACGTTCTCATACGTTTTTGTTTTTTTGTGTTTTTTGCCAACATTGGGGTTTTGAGCGTGACCACATCCTTCTGTGATCAGAGTGAGCATCAAATACTTTTCAGTTTCACTGTAACCCAACACAGGCGAGGCTGAGGAAAAGTTAATACCATGCATGTGTTTACTGACGATTTATTGATCACATCAACACCAAATCAGTTTTCATTTTCAGTCAGAACAAAATGTACCAGAGCTTATTGTTCTGACAAATTACTATGCACGATAAAATGGTCCTGAGCTGATTTAAATACTGAACAGAATCATAATCAGTTATACTGCCAAGAGCGATAGATGCACTGGAGTTCTTCTTGATTGCTTTTTTGCAAGCTTATGTAACACAACAACTCTAATTATACTTTTATTGTCAAATCAGAATCGGAATTTAAAATGTTGGATTACAAAGCCCAGGAAAGACACAGGAATTTGACTTGAGACAAATTAGAAAACTGTTTTGTAACAGTGAACAGAGCTCGTGTCCTTGTATTATAGCCTGATTTTATTACCGAAACCATGATCAGAATAACAATCATGTCAGAAAGTGAGCTTAAAGTGGACATGTTTTTCTCGTTTACAGCTCCTCATTTATATTTTCGGACTCAAATAGAGTAGCTTTGTGTGATTCCAAGTTGAAAGTAACCCTTAATTCAGCCCTTCAACTCATCTTCTTTCTGAAACGAGACATTTTCAGAAACTTTCATCTGATTGGCTGTCCCATATAAACACGAGGTTTGAACAGCAGGTAGGTCAGGCTTTTGTGCCCTCCTGACATCATATAGAGCAAAGAGTATTAAAAACTCTTACTTGTATTTACTCTGACTTCATCATTTTTAACTTTGCTTTTCATGTTTATTATGAGCATCCACTTCTGGAACGAGATATATTTAACAAGAAAATACGCTTAATAACTCCTTTTTAATGGATGTACTAGAAACTGCTTTCAACCTCTTTTCTGGCATAAAGAGTCCTTCAATAGCAAGTGTTTGTTGACCTATTTTCACTGAAAAGTGTCCCCACTCATATTTACTGCTAAGCTATTCTGTTTATCCTTTTTTTCGCCCCCGTTCTACTTTCCTGATTCTGGAAAGAAATGATAATCTTCACCCCACCTTCTCTGGACCTCGTCAGATGTTGCGTTGTCGTAAGGCAGATTCATAGTCTTACATTGGTATCTCTGTACACAGAGTGAAACCAGTGTTGAGGCTATGGTTTCACATACAGTCACTCAACAAACATCTGATGGCTTGGCATGGGTTGGAATGGAGGTTTGAACCAGAAAGGGAATTAACCAGTTACCACGGAGAGAAAGAAGGCTGAACCATTTCTCTTTAACACTTTGTTGTTTAGGTCATGGTAAAAATCAAAACTTTAAAGTCTTGTAATGCTCATTTTCTAAGTTATGGTCCCCATTAGAGTCAAAAAGGATGATGAAAGCAAGGTATTCTTGAGTCAGGCTCACCCCTCAGTGGTCTCACAATGTTTTAAAACACCAAGATGGCAAAAATGCTCAGTTTAAATATATAGTCAGTCATTTTTCTGATGCATTCTCATAACCATTAAAAATATAAAGTTTTATACATACAACATACAAAGTTTTACAGCCTCTTAAAGAGTAAATAGATATGAATACACATTGACAGCTGAGGTAAACAGCAGACTGACAGCCTACAGCCACTACAGATGAACGGCAGCCAGAATAGGCCAGGCCTACAGCAGTCACTCTAGCTAGGATTATGTACTTGAATGGGAATGTTTACTCTTAATAGTTAGATTTCTTTACACAGGCTTTGCATACACTTGCAAAGTCAACGTTGAGGCATGACCTTCAAACAGCCTTTAAATAGGTTAGGATCATAAATCAGATATAATTTAATTCAGTTTTATTTATACAGGGCCAAATCACAATAACAGGCGCTTTATATTGTAAGGTAGACCCTACAATAATACATACAAAGAAAAACCCAACAATCATATGACCCCCTATGAGCAAGCGCTTTGGCGACAGTGGGAAGGAAAAACTCTCTTTTAACGGGAAGAAACCTCCAGCAGAACCAGGCTCGGGGAGGGGCGGGGCCATCTGCTGCAATCGGTTGGGGTGAGAGAAGGAAGACGGGATAAAGGACCTGTTGTGGAAGAGAGTCAGAGATTAATAAAACACACTAGAGAAAGGAGGACGCTGTTAAACAGAAACTTTTACTTGCATATACATTAAAACATCCAGCAGATACTTCCAAAACAAGATAGACTAATTCACCTTGTCTTTTTTATTTTGTATTTTTTATTATTCATGTTAATCTTGTCAAAATGACGTTAACGTCATAACCGCATTAACGCGGCAAATATCCGTTAGCGAGTTAACGTGGATGGCGCTGTGCGTGGGGCTGCACAGCGTCAACGCATTAGCGCAGTTAAGTCGTTAAAGAAGGAAACCTGACTAAGAGGGAAGCAACACAGACAGATGGGGAAAGACATTAAATTCAGTTAATTTCAGTTAACAACAATAATTGAATGGTTTTATATATAAACAAATTCCTGTTACCGAGGTGTCAGATACATAAAGACGTTCAGTTAACCGTAGAATACAGTACATAATTGTGAGTAAGGTCGTCACAGTTGGTAATGAATCTGTGTCTGATTATACACAGTCCAACGTACAAAGACAGTGAACAGAAGCATTTATATACAACAAGTTGTCCCCATCAATTTCTGTTGTACACAAAAAGAAAAAAACACTGCTTATTTTCTATTATTTCACTCATATAATTAAAGGTTCTTATGTGATGCTATAGAAGCACATCACACTTTCAATCATATCTCCTGCCCGCTGCTGCTGCAGGTTGATATAAAAGTCCAGACTGGGAGAAATCAGATTTCTGTCCAGTTATTCTTTAACCTATCCCACCTGCCAAATCCTTCGACTTTAGTTAATAATATCAGTAAGGCTCCGCCGCCAAACTGGAAGCTAGCTTTCTGTGAGTACAGTACGTGCTTCCCAGTCATGGACCAGGCATGTAAATGATTTGTTAAAAAAAAGAAGAAGTTTTGAGTCCATCGGATCCTCATTGAAAGTTCATGCCTATATTTAAAAACAGTATCAAAAACAGATGCATAGAAACATTTGTGTGAAACTATACTTTGATTATTTTGCTCAGTACAATGTGTTCTTAAAAATGTTTTCAAGCTGCCATCTAGAGAGCGTTTGGGCCGCTCTGAAATCCAACCTCTGCACCGTGGTGGGTAATTTTCCTCGTCATTTGGCTGGCATTTGGTGTGAAAGCAGTGTGCAGACAGCAGGTCTGCCTCACAGCTCTCTGTTAGAGGGAAAAGGCATTAAGTAAACACACCAGTTCCCATTCCAATCCTCCATTCCCCTCGCACTGCCCAGAAGAAATGGGCAGCCTGCTCTATATATCAGCAGCAATTATTTCTTTTCTTTTTTTTTTCTTACACGCTTTTAGACGTTGCAAATTGAAAACACGATCCCTGGGAAGCAGCTTGGTCCTAGAGAAAAGGCCGTTTGACGTGCACCTTCTCGAGACAGACCTCACGACTGCAACACGTCTGCATCATAAATGTCTGTTTTCAGACCTCGACTTTAATCCATTTGATGGATATTAAGAGGTTTCTGTGGAATTTTTGGTTTGAGCTGCAACGTTATTATAGTAAATTAAAACTAGGTGTGAATGCAATGCTAAAGTTAACTAAAATAAAAATAAAAATTTGACCTTTAGGGAACAAAACTTGAAACAATTTTGTGAGCTTGGGAAATTAAAATCAAAAAAGTCTAAAACTAACACTGAAACAGTGAAAAACTAAAAGATTTTCAAGCAACAAAAACTAAAGAAGATCCGCTCTGTAAACTACCTGAAACTAAATTAAATTAAAAGAAAAGTCAAACGTTAAATTTAAAAGCATGAATTAGAATGAAATAAACTATAATAGCTCTTGTTAGGTGCTAATAACACAGCCAGTCATACAGTCATGTGAAAGGTTTCACCAGACTCTGCACTCTTGTAATAAATGCAGTTTCATTTTGCTTGCATAATTGAAAATAAAGAGTCTTGAATTCAGTAGAGCCACGTTTAGCAAAAATAACTTGAAGTAATGATTTTCTGTGTAACTTTATCAGCCTCTCACATCACTGTGGAGGAATTCCAGCCCGCTCTTCTTCACAGCATTGCTTCAGTTAATTGAGGTTTGTGGAGGTTTGTGGAGGTTTGCTTATGCACAGCTCTCTTCGGGTCCCACCACAGCATTTCAATCATGTTGTGGTCTGGACTTAGACTGGACCACTGCAGGACCATTCTGTTGTAGATTTGCTGCTGTGCTTGGGATCATTGTTCTGTTACATGACCCTGTCAGATAGACGGCCTCACATTTGACTCTAGGATACTTTGGTATACAGAGGAGTTCATGGTCGACTCATTCACTGCAAAACAAATCCAAATCATTACCTCTCTACCACCGTACTAACAGCTGGTATGAGGTATTTGTGCTGATGTGGAGCTGTGCATCATGACCAAACATCTCCACTTTGGTCTTGTCTGTCCAAAGGACAT